ACCTGCGGGATTGCAAGGCGGATCGTACTCCCAGTCGTTCCCCGCGACCGCTGCAAGGCGGGGCTTCGCAGCGAGAGGGGGGGGGGGGGAGGGGGGGGGTGGGGGGGCGTCGTCGTCGCAGCGAGGCACACCGAGAGCAGCGCTTGCGTTGCTGACAGGCAACGTGGTCTCTACACCGCAATCGTGTGAGTGGCGGGTCGTACAGCTGATGCACGTGGAAGAAGGATGCTTGTCCGCTACGTTAGTTGGTCTCCCCTTTGTTTGCCCTGCAAATTTATTTCGTTTTCAACTTCTCGTAATCTCCTTCAATGGAGCCTTTGCTGACGTGTCGTCCGTGCCATTGCATGGGTTCGCGCTCCATGATCTCGCTCCTGCCTTGTTTCATACTTCAAGTGCGTTTCCTCTAGCTACTTTTATGGTCGACGTAAGTCCCTCCTCACTCGCCTTCCTCTCGTGTGTATCCCCTCTCCCCTTCCCCCCGCAGATCGCTCGAAATTCGCCACGTTTCATACTTCAAGTGCGTTTCCTCTAGCTACTTTTATGGTCGACGTAAGTCCCTCCTCACTCGCCTTCCTCTCGTGTGTATCCCCTCTCCCCTTCCCCCCGCAGATCGCTCGAAATTCGCCACGTTTCATACTTCAAGTGCGTTTCCTCTAGCTACTTTTATGGTCGACGTAAGTCCCTCCTCACTCGCCTTCCTCTCGTGTGTATCCCCTCTCCCCTTCCCCCCGCAGATCGCTCGAAATTCGCCACGTTTCATACTTCAAGTGCGTTTCCTCTAGCTACTTTTATGGTCGACGTAAGTCCCTCCTCACTCGCCTTCCTCTCGTGTGTATCCCCTCTCCCCTTCCCCCCGCAGATCGCTCGAAATTCGCCACGTTTCATACTTCAAGTGCGTTTCCTCTAGCTACTTTTATGGTCGACGTAAGTCCCTCCTCACTCGCCTTCCTCTCGTGTGTATCCCCTCTCCCCTTCCCCCCGCAGATCGCTCGAAATTCGCCACGTTTCATACTTCAAGTGCGTTTCCTCTAGCTACTTTTATGGTCGACGTAAGTCCCTCCTCACTCGCCTTCCTCTCGTGTGTATCCCCTCTCCCCTTCCCCCCGCAGATCGCTCGAAATTCGCCACGTTTCATACTTCAAGTGCGTTTCCTCTAGCTACTTTTATGGTCGACGTAAGTCCCTCCTCACTCGCCTTCCTCTCGTGTGTATCCCCTCTCCCCTTCCCCCCGCAGATCGCTCGAAACTCGCCACGTTTCATACTTCAAGTGCGTTTCCTCTAGCTACTTTTATGGTCGACGTAAGTCCCTCCTCACTCGCCTTCCTCTCGTGTGTATCCCCTCTCCCCTTCCCCCCGCAGATCGCTCGAAACTCGCCACGTTTCATACTTCAAGTGCGTTTCCTCTAGCTACTTTTATGGTCGACGTAAGTCCCTCCTCACTCGCCTTCCTCTCGTGTGTATCCCCTCTCCCCTTCCCCCCGCAGATCGCTCGAAATTCGCCACGTTTCATACTTCAAGTGCGTTTCCTCTAGCTACTTTTATGGTCGACGTAAGTCCCTCCTCACTCGCCTTCCTCTCGTGTGTATCCCCTCTCCCCTTCCCCCCGCAGATCGCTCGAAATTCGCCACGTTTCATACTTCAAGTGCGTTTCCTCTAGCTACTTTTATGGTCGACGTAAGTCCCTCCTCACTCGCCTTCCTCTCGTGTGTATCCCCTCTCCCCTTCCCCCCGCAGATCGCTCGAAATTCGCCACGTTTCATACTTCAAGTGCGTTTCCTCTAGCTACTTTTATGGTCGACGTAAGTCCCTCCTCACTCGCCTTCCTCTCGTGTGTATCCCCTCTCCCCTTCCCCCCGCAGATCGCTCGAAATTCGCCACGTTTCATACTTCAAGTGCGTTTCCTCTAGCTACTTTTATGGTCGACGTAAGTCCCTCCTCACTCGCCTTCCTCTCGTGTGTATCCCCTCTCCCCTTCCCCCCGCAGATCGCTCGAAACTCGCCACGTTTCATACTTCAAGTGCGTTTCCTCTAGCTACTTTTATGGTCGACGTAAGTCCCTCCTCACTCGCCTTCCTCTCGTGTGTATCCCCTCTCCCCTTCCCCCCGCAGATCGCTCGAAACTCGCCACGTTTCATACTTCAAGTGCGTTTCCTCTAGCTACTTTTATGGTCGACGTAAGTCCCTCCTCACTCGCCTTCCTCTCGTGTGTATCCCCTCTCCCCTTCCCCCCGCAGATCGCTCGAAATTCGCCACGTTTCATACTTCAAGTGCGTTTCCTCTAGCTACTTTTATGGTCGACGTAAGTCCCTCCTCACTCGCCTTCCTCTCGTGTGTATCCCCTCTCCCCTTCCCCCCGCAGATCGCTCGAAATTCGCCACGTTTCATACTTCAAGTGCGTTTCCTCTAGCTACTTTTATGGTCGACGTAAGTCCCTCCTCACTCGCCTTCCTCTCGTGTGTATCCCCTCTCCCCTTCCCCCCGCAGATCGCTCGAAATTCGCCACGTTTCATACTTCAAGTGCGTTTCCTCTAGCTACTTTTATGGTCGACGTAAGTCCCTCCTCACTCGCCTTCCTCTCGTGTGTATCCCCTCTCCCCTTCCCCCCGCAGATCGCTCGAAATTCGCCACGTTTCATACTTCAAGTGCGTTTCCTCTAGCTACTTTTATGGTCGACGTAAGTCCCTCCTCACTCGCCTTCCTCTCGTGTGTATCCCCTCTCCCCTTCCCCCCGCAGATCGCTCGAAATTCGCCACGTTTCATACTTCAAGTGCGTTTCCTCTAGCTACTTTTATGGTCGACGTAAGTCCCTCCTCACTCGCCTTCCTCTCGTGTGTATCCCCTCTCCCCTTCCCCCCGCAGATCGCTCGAAATTCGCCACGTTTCATACTTCAAGTGCGTTTCCTCTAGCTACTTTTATGGTCGACGTAAGTCCCTCCTCACTCGCCTTCCTCTCGTGTGTATCCCCTCTCCCCTTCCCCCCGCAGATCGCTCGAAATTCGCCACGTTTCATACTTCAAGTGCGTTTCCTCTAGCTACTTTTATGGTCGACGTAAGTCCCTCCTCACTCGCCTTCCTCTCGTGTGTATCCCCTCTCCCCTTCCCCCCGCAGATCGCTCGAAACTCGCCACGTTTCATACTTCAAGTGCGTTTCCTCTAGCTACTTTTATGGTCGACGTAAGTCCCTCCTCACTCGCCTTCCTCTCGTGTGTATCCCCTCTCCCCTTCCCCCCGCAGATCGCTCGAAATTCGCCACGTTTCATACTTCAAGTGCGTTTCCTCTAGCTACTTTTATGGTCGACGTAAGTCCCTCCTCACTCGCCTTCCTCTCGTGTGTATCCCCTCTCCCCTTCCCCCCGCAGATCGCTCGAAATTCGCCACGTTTCATACTTCAAGTGCGTTTCCTCTAGCTACTTTTATGGTCGACGTAAGTCCCTCCTCACTCGCCTTCCTCTCGTGTGTATCCCCTCTCCCCTTCCCCCCGCAGATCGCTCGAAATTCGCCACGTTTCATACTTCAAGTGCGTTTCCTCTAGCTACTTTTATGGTCGACGTAAGTCCCTCCTCACTCGCCTTCCTCTCGTGTGTATCCCCTCTCCCCTTCCCCCCGCAGATCGCTCGAAATTCGCCACGACTCCAAGTGTCGCCACCAGGACGCATGCCAACTCAGACAACTCACATATCCAGGTGCGAGGACCCTGATTGCCTAAAACGCGCAAATGAAAAAATGTGATCCCGAGTGCCCAAAACTCCGGTTGGCCCCACTGGGACGCGTTCAGTTCCACCCCCCGCCGCGGTGTGAACTCAGAGCTAGTGCGTGCTTCGGGGTGCAGCGTGTGGTGCAGGAAATGTAGCTCCTCCGTACAGAATAGTCTCCCTCACGAGGTGAGATAGGGATCGATATTCAAGTGCCTTAAGAATCGCTTTGCTGATTTTGTGGAGCTCATGCACCAGTTGAGTCGCCAGGTGGCTCGTCTTTGTGCAAACGACTTATGCATGGGCTGAGTTCGAGATAGCTTCTACTGCAAAGCTTCCAATTCCCAACCGTGGCTGCCGCTGACTCATAGTGATAGTGAGTTAGAGATAACTTGCGCGTAGTTGTTTCAAGAATGCTTTGCAAGCGTGACAGTCATTCTTTGTGTTCTTAGAGGGAAGTGGGGTTGTTAACAGTGTGTATGAAATGGCTCATATCTGCGTATGCAGTTAGCAGAGCACTGGCGAACGTTGGTGACAAACATGAACAAAGAGAGCAGGGGAGTGGGCATTGGTGCATGTGCAGGGAACGAGTCACCGGCGGACGGGGGAGACGAAGTTGAACAAAAAGAGCAGCCGCTCGCATTGCGTCTTCATGTGTCACATTAAGAGCACTGTGAGTGCTGCTGATAGGGTTGAAGCACGGTGGGGCTACTGCTGATCAACCAAGGCGCAAAGGTGTGTTCTCAGTGGATTTTTATTTTTTTTGTCAGACACGCATGTCTCTCATTTAGATAATTTAAATTGTCGCTAAAGGTGCTTATGTCGACTTTGTATGGCACACCCTCGTACCTCACTTTAGTGTGTGTGGAGGAAACAGCTTCCAGCGCCTCAATCAACTCAACCTTGTTGACCTCGCAGGCTCCGAAAGGTAACCTGTATGTTTGGCACGCCTGATTGCATTGCACTTTGTAAGGTACCCAGTCCGTTTCTGCCTTATCTAACTGCTAAGACGCCTGACCCATAAGGTACCCCATCCGCTTGCCGCCTCTTGGCCTCGCACTCATAATGCCGGCCATGTTCAGTACTTGTATCACTCACCACCCACTTACCGTCCCCTCCCAGCCCCATTGATGCACTCCGCCCCTCCTAACCCCTCGCCACCTGTGGCACGCAGTCACCGATCACCGGGCATTCACCTGCTATCCTGCCCATAATCTCTGCCCTCCTCCACTCTCTCTGCCCCACACCCCCGCACTTCATCCCTGTCCACCACTCTCCACTTTTGGCAGGTCTGACTCGACAGGGGCCATGGGAGAACGGCTCAAAGAGGCGAACGCCATCAACAAGTCCCTCTCCCACCTCGGGTGTGTCCCTCTCTCCCACCTCGGGTGTGTCCCTCTCCCACCTCGGGTGTGTCCTTCTCCCACTCCCCCCTCGTGTTTCTCGCCTCTCTCTACCTCTCAGGCGAGTGCAGTGTGGACAGTGCTGGTGATTGATTTCTGAGCTCTGTATGCTGTTCGCGCTGCACTCGCCTGAGATGAGAACCAAGAGCTCAGAATCCAACCATCAGAGTTGTACTGCTTCTCATTGCTGCCCTGGCTTGGTAGTTCTGCCCCTTGTTATGCTCGCTGTGCGTGCTTATCGGTTGCCCTGCAAACAAAGAGACTTATCATGGTCAGCTGTCGCGTCTCCGCCGTTCTTGCTGTCCGTTGCCGTGCCATGGAACTGGTGTGTGTGCAACTCGAGTGTTTGTTTTGTCCCGTGTTCATGTGTTGGCCACCAGACTGGTGATGCTGAAGCTAGAGGAGGCGGCGGGGAAGAAGAGGCCTCCTGGCCATGTGCCCTACCGTGACTCTAAGCTCACCAACCTTCTCTAAGTAAAATACTCTATGATCAGTTTGTTTCTAGCATTTGAAAATTAAACGAAAAGCTTCGTTCCTCATTTTCCCCCAAGTTGCCGCTCACATCTCGTGGTCCCCTTTTTTTATATTAATATGAGTGTGCATAAAGAGCCTGTCCCTCACTTCTCTTCATGACGCCTCGTCCTTTCCATTCGCCACCACATCGTTTCATATGCAGGATTCCCTGGGCGGAAATTCAAAAACCACCATGATCGCATGCATCTCCCTGGCTGCAGGGTAAGTTTCGATAAGTCTGAAGCGTGCATCAACCCGGCCGCAAAGTAAGCAGTAGAGTTTTGAAGTGGGCCCAGAGAGGTAGACACCTCACACTGACTACGTCTGTGCATGTGTAAACGGTGCTTGCGGAACTGCCATGTCCCCATTATTGAACCCACAAATGAGTAGGAGCATTGCTTTTCTGAGGCACCTCACAAACTGCAGAGGTGTGTGTCTGTGCATGTGTAATTGGTGCTTGTGTAACTGCCATATTCCCCCCCGAACCGAGCGCCTTGAGAAGCAGTAGCGTTGTGAGTCCATAGCCCACAACTCGATGGCAATGGGTGTTCGCGTGCACATCGTAAGGCATTTAAGTCACCTCCAAGAAATCATCCCTGCACCGTGACTCGTGTCCCTCCCTCACTCGCAGGTCATATGACGCGACTAACAGCACGCTCAAGTTAACCCAAAAGGCCAAGGGCTGGTGATGCGGTGCTCATGCGGAACAAGGGGATGGCAGCGGTGATGAGGCTGCAGAGGGCAAGCACTAACGACGCCACGCCCTGGCGGTTCTTGAGGCTCGTTAAGAAATATTCCCTCCCACCCCCACCCTCAGGTCGCACGACGAGTCGCTCAGCACCCTCAGATTTGTACAAAGGGCAAAGCTGGTGTGGAACAATGCGGTTGTGAATGAGGCTGCAAAGGGCCAGCAGGAAGACCAGCAGGAGAAGATTGACAGGCTCCAGGTGCGATGGCCCCTGCTATGCTGCCCTGCTGCTGCCTTGCTGCGTTGCTCCTCATGCTTATTGCCATTTGGGACATCTCAGATTTCTACAGAGTGACAGCAGGTCGCCCTGCAAAAGAAGATTGCTCGGCTCGAGGTGCGATGCCCCCTGCCTTGCCGCCCTGCTGCCCCTTCTCCTTTCACTAATCTCTGTCGTTCTTCCCTCCCTCTTCCCCTGTATTTCCTCCCTCTCTCTTCCCCTGAATTTCCCTCCCTCTTCCCCTGTCTTTCCTCCCTCCCTCTTCCCAACCCCACAGACTGAGCTTCACCGCATGCGTGAGCTCTGCACCCGTGGAGCCCATCTGCTTCTGGGAGAGGGGTTGGCGACAGTGGAGGAGGGGGGAGGGGAGGAGGAGCAGCAAGAGGGCAGTGGGTTGGATGCTGTGGAGAAGGGTGCGGTGAATTTGAAGCATCAGGTGAGCTTGCTGCTACAGTATGTGCCTCTCATTTCTCGTGCCATCCCTCACGGGTCTCTTGCATGCATTCCCTCTTCGTCTGCCCTGTAACAACGAACACACCAGGTGAAAAAATCTGCAGCAGGCAAGAAGGATTCAACGAGTTTTTGCGGCCTTTCTTGCCCTCCCTGCCCTCCCTCCCCTTACCTTCCGTCCCTGCCCTCCCTCCCCTCCCTTCCCTCCCTCCCCTTACCTTCCCTCCCTGCCCTCCCTCCCCTACCTTCCCTCCCTTCCATCCCTCCCCTCCGTCCCCCTTTCCTCCCCCCTTTTACCTTCCCTCCCTTCTCTCCCTCCCCTCCCTTACCTCCCTGCCCTTCCCTTTCCTCCTTGCCCACCAGGAAACCAGCATGAACAGGAATCTTGAGGCGGCGTTTTCCTGTGCCAACGGGCTTGACACTCCCCTTTCCACAAGGGGCAAGGCTGCAGCAAGGAGGGGGGAAGCAGGAGGAGCTGAGGTGGCAGGCAAGGTAGCTGACGTGGTGGCAGCACGAGAGGAGAGAATGAGGGAGGGAAAGGAGGTAAAGAGGGCGGTGGAGGAGAGGGATGAGCTTGCAAGGAAGGTGGAGGAATTGGAGGAGAGGGTTTGAGTTGCAGAGAGGAGGGCGGAAGAGTATGCGCTGTCACTGCAGGAAGCAGCAGGGAAGGTGTAGGAGGAAAAGAGGTGGCGGTGGCAGCAGCAGCAACAGCAGCAGACGCAACGTCTACAAGCGGGAAGAAAGAGGGAAAAGAGGGGACAAAGGGAGGCGGAGAGGAAGAACCATCAGCGGTAGAAGTAGCAGCAGCAGCAGCAGTAACAGCAGCAGAGGCAGTAGTCAGCAAAAGCAGCAGAAGAAGCAGCAGCAGGAGAAGCAGCACGAGCAGCAGAAGCAGCAGCAGCAGAAGAAGCAGCACGGGCAGCAAAGCAGAAGCAGCAGCAGAAGCAGCGGCAGCAGAAGCAGCAGCAGCAGCAGTAGAAGGAGCAGCAGCAGAAGCATCAGCAGAAGCAGCAGCAGCAGCAGCGGTACACGCAAAAGCAGCAGCAGGTGCAGCAACAGAAGCAGCAGAAAATGCAGCAGAAGCAGCAGAAGCAGCAGCAGCAGCAGACGCAGCAGCAGTAGAATCAGCAGCAGAAGCAGTGGCAGAAGCAGCGGCAGCAGAAGCAGTGGCAGAATCAGCAGCAGCCAAAGCAACACCAGAAGCAGAGGCAGAAGCAGCAGGAGCAGCAGCAGCAGCAGCAGCAGCAGAAGCAGCGGCAGCAGAAGCAGCAGGAGAAGCAGTGGCAGAAGCAGCAACAGAAGCAGTGGCAGGAGCAGCAGCAGCGGATGCATCAGCAAAACCAGCAGCAGAAGCAGCAACAGCAGAAGCCGCAGCAGAATCTGCTGCAGCAGAAGCAGCAACAGCAGCATCAGCAAAAATTTTGGCAGCAGGAGCAAAAGAAATAGCAGCAGAAGCAACAGCAGAAGCAACAGTAGCAGAAGCAACAGCAGCAGAAGCAGCAGCAGCAGCAGCAGAAGCAAGCTCCCCTGCACTTTCCCAGCATCCCTAGGTGCAGGGAGTCAAAGGAGGAAACGTGCCGAGGACCAGACAGAGCTTTCGGACATGAAGCGCTTGCAAAAGGTGCTGGCTGGCGATGGTGGTAGTGGTGACGGATGTGGATTCTTGACCATGGAGGATGGTGTGGACAACGCCGGTATCTTTGGACGTGAGGAACAAACCACACCAGCAGCATCAACAGCCGCAGCTGCTGCAGCAGAGGCAGCAGCAACACCGTCAGCATCAACATTCCCTGCCACAATGCTGTTTTCATCGCCCTCCAACCCTTTTTGGACGCCCCCTACCCATTTTCCCACGTACCCCACCCGTTCTCTGACACTTCCCTCGAGGGAGAGTGGTGAGGGCGGAGGCGATTGCAATGGTGGAGAGGCAGCAGTCCGTGATTTTTGAGGCAGGGGGAGTGGGACAGGAGTTTGTTAGGGAGGGAGGGGAAACAAGGGTGGAAGAAGTGGGGATGGCTGAGGAAGGTGGAGGCGACGGTGGAGTTGTGAAAATGGGCGATGGTCAAGACGAGGATGGTGTGAGGGGGGGTGAGGGGCAACGAGCAGCACAAACACCAGGAACAGAAGCAGCCGCAGCAGCAGAAGAAGCCGCAGCCGCAGCAGCAGCACCATCAGCAGCAGACGTAATGGAGGATATCCAGTTGCTGATGCTTCGCCTGACTTCAGTGGAAAGACAAAGGAACAACTCCTCGTTGCTGCGGAAACAAATCATGAATGTTTTCCAGCTCCAGCTCCAGCTCCAGCTCCAGCTCCAGCTCCAGCTCCAGCTCCAGCTCCAGCTCCAGCTCCAGCTCCAGCTCCAGCTCCAGCTCCAGCTCCAGCTCCAGCTCCAGCTCCAGCTCCAGCTCCAGCTCCAGCTCCAGCTCCAGCTCCAGCTCCAGCTCCAGCTCCAGCTCCAGCTCCAGCTCCAGCTCCAGCTCCAGCTCCAGCTCCAGCTCCAGCTCCAGCTCCAGCTCCAGCTCCAGCTCCAGCTCCAGCTCCAGCTCCAGCTCCAGCTCCAGCTCCAGCTCCAGCTCCAGCTCCAGCTCCAGCTCCAGCTCCAGCTCCAGCTCCAGCTCCAGCTCCAGCTCCAGCTCCAGCTCCAGCTCCAGCTCCAGCTCCAGCTCCAGCTCCAGCTCCAGCTCCAGCTCCAGCTCCAGCTCCAGCTCCAGCTCCAGCTCCAGCTCCAGCTCCAGCTCCAGCTCCAGCTCCAGCTCCAGCTCCAGCTCCAGCTCCAGCTCCAGCTCCAGCTCCAGCTCCAGCTCCAGCTCCAGCTCCAGCTCCAGCTCCAGCTCCAGCTCCAGCTCCAGCTCCAGCTCCAGCTCCAGCTCCAGCTCCAGCTCCAGCTCCAGCTCCAGCTCCAGCTCCAGCTCCAGCTCCAGCTCCAGCTCCAGCTCCAGCTCCAGCTCCAGCTCCAGCTCCAGCTCCAGCTCCAGCTCCAGCTCCAGCTCCAGCTCCAGCTCCAGCTCCAGCTCCAGCTCCAGCTCCAGCTCCAGCTCCAGCTCCAGCTCCAGCTCCAGCTCCAGCTCCAGCTCCAGCTCCAGCTCCAGCTCCAGCTCCAGCTCCAGCTCCAGCTCCAGCTCCAGCTCCAGCTCCAGCTCCAGCTCCAGCTCCAGCTCCAGCTCCAGCTCCAGCTCCAGCTCCAGCTCCAGCTCCAGCTCCAGCTCCAGCTCCAGCTCCAGCTCCAGCTCCAGCTCCAGCTCCAGCTCCAGCTCCAGCTCCAGCTCCAGCTCCAGCTCCAGCTCCAGCTCCAGCTCCAGCTCCAGCTCCAGCTCCAGCTCCAGCTCCAGCTCCAGCTCCAGCTCCAGCTCCAGCTCCAGCTCCAGCTCCAGCTCCAGCTCCAGCTCCAGCTCCAGCTCCAGCTCCAGCTCCAGCTCCAGCTCCAGCTCCAGCTCCAGCTCCAGCTCCAGCTCCAGCTCCAGCTCCAGCTCCAGCTCCAGCTCCAGCTCCAGCTCCAGCTCCAGCTCCAGCTCCAGCTCCAGCTCCAGCTCCAGCTCCAGCTCCAGCTCCAGCTCCAGCTCCAGCTCCAGCTCCAGCTCCAGCTCCAGCTCCAGCTCCAGCTCCAGCTCCAGCTCCAGCTCCAGCTCCAGCTCCAGCTCCAGCTCCAGCTCCAGCTCCAGCTCCAGCTCCAGCTCCAGCTCCAGCTCCAGCTCCAGCTCCAGCTCCAGCTCCAGCTCCAGCTCCAGCTCCAGCTCCAGCTCCAGCTCCAGCTCCAGCTCCAGCTCCAGCTCCAGCTCCAGCTCCAGCTCCAGCTCCAGCTCCAGCTCCAGCTCCAGCTCCAGCTCCAGCTCCAGCTCCAGCTCCAGCTCCAGCTCCAGCTCCAGCTCCAGCTCCAGCTCCAGCTCCAGCTCCAGCTCCAGCTCCAGCTCCAGCTCCAGCTCCAGCTCCAGCTCCAGCTCCAGCTCCAGCTCCAGCTCCAGCTCCAGCTCCAGCTCCAGCTCCAGCTCCAGCTCCAGCTCCAGCTCCAGCTCCAGCTCCAGCTCCAGCTCCAGCTCCAGCTCCAGCTCCAGCTCCAGCTCCAGCTCCAGCTCCAGCTCCAGCTCCAGCTCCAGCTCCAGCTCCAGCTCCAGCTCCAGCTCCAGCTCCAGCTCCAGCTCCAGCTCCAGCTCCAGCTCCAGCTCCAGCTCCAGCTCCAGCTCCAGCTCCAGCTCCAGCTCCAGCTCCAGCTCCAGCTCCAGCTCCAGCTCCAGCTCCAGCTCCAGCTCCAGCTCCAGCTCCAGCTCCAGCTCCAGCTCCAGCTCCAGCTCCAGCTCCAGCTCCAGCTCCAGCTCCAGCTCCAGCTCCAGCTCCAGCTCCAGCTCCAGCTCCAGCTCCAGCTCCAGCTCCAGCTCCAGCTCCAGCTCCAGCTCCAGCTCCAGCTCCAGCTCCAGCTCCAGCTCCAGCTCCAGCTCCAGCTCCAGCTCCAGCTCCAGCTCCAGCTCCAGCTCCAGCTCCAGCTCCAGCTCCAGCTCCAGCTCCAGCTCCAGCTCCAGCTCCAGCTCCAGCTCCAGCTCCAGCTCCAGCTCCAGCTCCAGCTCCAGCTCCAGCTCCAGCTCCAGCTCCAGCTCCAGCTCCAGCTCCAGCTCCAGCTCCAGCTCCAGCTCCAGCTCCAGCTCCAGCTCCAGCTCCAGCTCCAGCTCCAGCTCCAGCTCCAGCTCCAGCTCCAGCTCCAGCTCCAGCTCCAGCTCCAGCTCCAGCTCCAGCTCCAGCTCCAGCCCTCCAGCTCCAGCTCCAGCTCCAGCTCCAGCTCCAGCTCCAGCTCCAGCTCCAGCTCCAGCTCCAGCTCAGCCCAGCTCCAGCTCCCTCCAGCTCCAGCTCCAGCTCCAGCTCCAGCTCCAGCTCCAGCTCCAGCTCCAGCTCCAGCTCCAGCTCCAGCTCCAGCTCCAGCTCCAGCTCCAGCTCCAGCTCCAGCTCCAGCTCCAGCTCCAGCTCCAGCTCCAGCTCCGCCCAGCTCCAGCTCCAGCTCCAGCTCCAGCTCCAGCTCCAGCTCCAGCTCCAGCTCCAGCTCCAGCTCCAGCTCCAGCTCCAGCTCCAGCTCCAGCTCCAGCTCCAGCTCCAGCTCCAGCTCCAGCTCCAGCTCCAGCTCCAGCTCCAGCTCCAGCTCCAGCTCCAGCTCCAGCTCCAGCTCCAGCTCCAGCTCCAGCTCCAGCTCCAGCTCCAGCTCCAGCTCCAGCTCCAGCTCCAGCTCCAGCTCCAGCTCCAGCTCCAGCTCCAGCTCCAGCTCCAGCTCCAGCTCCAGGCTCCAGCTCCCGCTCCAGCTCCAGCTCCAAGCTCCAGCTCCAGCTCCAGCTCCAGCTCCAGCTCCAGCTCCAGCTCCAGCTCCAGCTCCAGATCCAGCTCCAGCTCCAGCTCCAGCTCCAGCTCCAGCCTCCAGCTCCAGCTCCAGCTCCGCTCAGCTCCAGCTCCAGCTTCCAGCTCCAGCTCCAGCTCCAGCTCCAGCTCCAGCTCCAGCTCCAGCTCCAGCTCCAGCTCCAGCTCCAGCTCCAGCTCCAGCTCCAGCTCCAGCTCCAGCTCCAGCTCCAGCTCCAGCTCCAGCTCCAGCTCCAGCTCCAGCTCCAGCTCCAGCTCCAGCTCCAGCTCCAGCTCCAGCTCCAGCTCCAGCTCCAGCTCCAGCTCCAGCTCCAGCTCCAGCTCCAGCTCCAGCTCCAGCTCCAGCTCCAGCTCCAGCTCCAGCTCCAGCTCCAGCTCCAGCTCCAGCTCCAGCTCCAGCTCCAGCTCCAGCTCCAGCTCCAGCTCCAGCTCCAGCTCCAGCTCCAGCTCCAGCTCCAGCTCCAGCTCCAGCTCCAGCTCCAGCTCCAGCTCCAGCTCCAGCTCCAGCTCCAGCTCCAGCTCCAGCTCCAGCTCCAGCTCCAGCTCCAGCTCCAGCTCCAGCTCCAGCTCCAGCTCCAGCTCCAGCTCCAGCTCCAGCTCCAGCTCCAGCTCCAGCTCCAGCTCCAGCTCCAGCTCCAGCTCCAGCTCCAGCTCCAGCTCCAGCTCCAGCTCCAGCTCCAGCTCCAGCTCCAGCTCCAGCTCCAGCTCCAGCTCCAGCTCCAGCTCCAGCTCCAGCTCCAGCTCCAGCTCCAGCTCCAGCTCCAGCTCCAGCTCCAGCTCCAGCTCCAGCTCCAGCTCCAGCTCCAGCTCCAGCTCCAGCTCCAGCTCCAGCTCCAGCTCCAGCTCCAGCTCCAGCTCCAGCTCCAGCTCCAGCTCCAGCTCCAGCTCCAGCTCCAGCTCCAGCTCCAGCTCCAGCTCCAGCTCCAGCTCCAGCTCCAGCTCCAGCTCCAGCTCCAGCTCCAGCTCCAGCTCCAGCTCCAGCTCCAGCTCCAGCTCCAGCTCCAGCTCCAGCTCCAGCTCCAGCTCCAGCTCCAGCTCCAGCTCCAGCTCCAGCTCCAGCTCCAGCTCCAGCTCCAGCTCCAGCTCCAGCTCCAGCTCCAGCTCCAGCTCCAGCTCCAGCTCCAGCTCCAGCTCCAGCTCCAGCTCCAGCTCCAGCTCCAGCACTAGCAGTGCACTAGCAGTGCACTAGCAGTGCACTAGCAGTACCAGCAGCAGCAGAAGCACTAGCAGCAGCAGTAGCACCACCACCAGAACCCCCAGCAGTAGCAGCAATACCATTGGCAGCAGCTGCACAAGCAGCAGAAGCACCAACGGCCGCCCCAGTTCCAGGAGTGAGAAGGCGAGGGGGGCCGGGAGGGACGTATCCACCAGGCGTTGTTGTGAAAAACGGATATGTCTACGCGAATGTATCGATAAACCGTAGGATGTACCATGCGGGCAGGTGCTACAGCGTGCAGGAGGCAACGATATAGGCAGCAGTGACCCAGGTTATTCATTCCATAAAGCCTCAAGGGACTGACAAGATGCTGCAAAAGGTCGAAGCATACTTGACCGTCACGGAAATTAACGTGATTCGTCAGGACCGACCCGAGCTGCTGCTCTGGTGGAAGGGGATGGTGGCTGCTGACATTAGCGAAAGGGCGCGGTGGGGTTTGACCGTGGCGCCAGGAGTTCTAAGAGAGGTGTGGGAACGAAGGCAGTCAACAGCAGCAGCACCACCACCACCAGCACCAACACCAGCTGCAGTAGCAGCAACAGCACAAGCACCAGCTGCAGTAGCAGCAACAGCACAAGCACCAGCTGCAATAGCAGCAACAGCACAAGCCCCAGCAGCAGCAGCAGCAGCAGCACCACCACCACCACCACCACCACCAGCACCACCACCAGCAACAGCAGCACCAGTAGAGTGAGGGCGTAGAGTGGAGCGGCGGTGGTGGTTGGCCGCGTCTGAGGAAGTTGGTAAGGCCTTGGGAGAGACAGGAAAGGCAGGGAGAGATGATGAGAGAGGGGGCCTGGGCGCCCACAGAACGGCACATGATGACAATAACTTAGCATAGAGTCGAGTGGGTTGCATAAGAGGAGTGGGGTGGGGGTGGGGGTATGAAAGGAGGTATGAGAGTAGTGTGGGATATGGAAGGAGTGGGAGGTATGAGAGGAGTGTGGTATGAGAGGAGTGTGGTATGAGAGGTGTGGGGTATGAGAGTAGTGAAGGGAGTTATGAGCGAAGGACTGAGCCATATGAGAGAAGTGGGGGGAAAGAGCGGAATGGGGGGTATGGGAGGAGTGGGGGGGGGGGGTGTGAGAGGAGTGGGGGTATTAGAGGAGTGGGGGGTATGAGAGGGGTCGGGGTTATGAGAGGAGAAACAGAGATGACATGAAGGCAAAAGGGAGAGGGAAGATACACAGAGATGTACTAAGGTACCGTAGCCTCCATATGTATCACCCCCAGGGCTCATTTTTGGTTTTGACCAACCCTTACGATCAGTCTAGCACCTGTTCAAAAACCTGATTTTCAATGTTGCTCGTTGTGGAAAACCTGATGCGTCAGGGTTTTTGCATGTATTAAAATGACTACCCTGAGTCATCAGTGTACCAATTCGCAAAACCCTGTTTCAGTTGTTATTAACACAGCACACAATAACAAGCCATGTGAAAATAGGCTGTCATAAGTCCTGCCGAAATCTACCTTTTCGACAGTTGGCGAAGGGAAAATCCAGGTTTCGGGGTCGGGTGGTTACGGGACGGGAGGGAGGGGAGGGGGGGTGGGGGTTCGCTGGTACGCGCTTCAGGGTAAACCTCGATAAGCGGAATGGCAACCCTAAGGCGACAGTGTTCCTTAATCTTAAAACCTGGCATATCAGGGTAAATCAAGGTCCCGAAAAAAATACCCAACAGCATCAGTGTTACTACCAAAAATCACCCTTCTAGTCAGGGCATCAGGGTGATTTACACTGATAACGTGGGCCCTGATCACCCCAGTGTATTGAGTGTGTTTGAAACTTATTTTGCAGCCTAATAGAAGCGCCCTGCATTTTTCATAAACTAGTCTTTTCGCTGCTCAGTTCGCATGACAACTTGCATTTTTGCTGGTGTGGTCGTTGTTTGTTGGGTCCAAAATTGTCAGATTGGGGGTGGGGGGGTGTCAAATGCTGTAGCATGGAGTGAGGTCTGTCTTAGGGGGTACATATGTTAGGGTTTGTCATATGTACCCCAACCCGACGACCCTACGCCTTTAGGCCCTGTCCCTGACGACGCCGCCAGAGACCGCTTTACCCGCCAGCGTGCTGACCTGACGGCGTGGAAATCGCGTGACGCTGCAGCCTGCATCGCTCTTAGCAGCCTCCTCCCTGAGTCTGAGGAGGCCCACTTCACTCAGGTTCGCACTGCTAGTGAGTTCCTGACTGCGATCAAGGCCCGCTACGCTGCTCCCACCACTGTCTCCCTTGGCCGCCTCTTCCTACCATTCTTGTTCCCTGACCTCGCCTCGTTTGAGCGCTCTGCTGTCTTGATTGCTCACCTCCGCTCGCTCGATTCTAGCTACCGCGCTGCTTGCACTGACGCGCAGCTTGCACTGCTTCCCCCTCCTATGACGATTACTATCTACTTCATTGCCACTAGCCTCCCTGACCGCCTTGCCTCTGTTCGTGACACGCTTCTTCTGAAGCACCCTAGTGAGCTCACTATCGAGGTCCTTGAGTCTGCGCTCAAGGACGTCGAGAGCAACCTCCGCTCAGTAGCCTCCGCCTCTGGTGCTCTACCCCATCCACTGTTTCACGGGTGCACTGTCCCTCAGCTGCCCACTTTTACTGCCTCGCTAGCCACTGCCGCTACTGATGTGACCGCAGCTGCTGTTATGACTACGTCGTGGTCTCGAGGTAGGAGTGGCAGGAGGGGCGGTCAGGGTGCAGGCGGCGGCGGCGGTGGCGGCCTTGGCGGCGGAGGTGGTGGGAGTGGCGTGCCGTCCGGTGGCGGCGAGAGCGCAGGGCCTGGAGAGGCGTCTCGTGCAGCGGCCAGTGACTCCCCTACTGCAGCTGGTGGAGGCGACACCCGGACTCATCAGCCTCCTCCTGGTCTGCCGGCCGCGGTGGGTGGAGCAGTGGCATGGTACCTGGCCCAGCGGCAGCAGCAGGTGCAGCAGCAGCAGCCCCTCCCCTTGCAGCAGCCCCCGCAGCAGCAGCGGCAGCAGCAAGTTTCGGGGCCAGGACAGCGTCAGCCTCAGCGAGGTGTTGTTCACCCTTCGTGCACATATCAGGTTCTGACAGGTGCTCGCCGAGGCCAGCCTTGTGGTCGCACCCACCCTCCTGGTCAGTGCTTTGCTCAGCTCACTGACACGGTTCGCTTGGCCTTCGGCGTTGGCGGCCCTGCCCCTGACTGGTTACATCTTGTTCAGACGTACGGCTCCACTCTTTGGGGCATGTCTGCTTCTCAGTTGCTTGATCTCTTAGGAACTCCTCATGCTATGCATGCTGTTGTTGACTCTAGTGCTTCTGACTCTGTTTACTCGAGTGTTGTTCGCTTAGGTGCTAGTCTTGCTGAGTTGCCTGTTGCTAGTGTAGGCACTTGTGTAGACACTAGTCCAGGCGCTACTTCGGAGGACGCTTCGCTGTCTTTCACTCTGGACTCTGGGGCTTCGCACTGCTTCTTCCGCGACCACACGACACTTACTCCACTTCCTGCGCCAGTCTCTGTGGCCCTGGCTGATCCCACCTCGGGACCGGTCACTGCTCGCTACACCACTACTCTTCCTTGCCCTGCTATTCCCTCTGGGTCTCTGACTGGCTTCCACGTCCCCTCGTTCTCGAGGAACTTGGTGGGCGTGAGGCCTCTTGTGAGTCAGCACGTAGGTGTGTGGATTGAGCCCTCTGGTGAGACGGCGGTTTGTGTTGACAGTGACACTTACTCGCCTCTTGCCACCTTTACTGCCGAGCCGGGCTCTGGTCTCTACACACTTCACACTGGCTCTGGTGGGCAGCAGCAGCAGCAGCAGCAGCGGCAGCAGCAGCGACTCCTGCCCCCGGCCCCGGTTACTTCCCCCAGTCTAGTCCCTGCGTCTCACCAGGTTGCTGCGTCCTCCCAGGTAGCTGTGTCTGGTCAGGTTCCCGTGTCTGGTCCAGTTGCTGCGTCGTGCTCCTGCCGGTCGCTTGCACACCCCACCGTTCTGTGGCACCACCGGACGGGGCACCCGTCCCTCCCTCTTCTGCGCGCTATGTCTCGTCAGCGTCTTGTCTTAGGCCTCCCGCGTGTCTTGCCGTCGCTGCCCCCTTCGCTTGCACCGCCGTGCGGTCCCTACGTCGAGGGTCGGCTGCGCGCCACCCCTCACTCCTCCTCCCTTCGTCCGGCCACCGAGCCTTTTGAGACGCTCCACTTGGACGTCTGGGGCCCCGCCCCTCGCCTTGGCCCTGAGCGCGAGCGTTTCTTTTTGGTGGTCGTTGACGACTACTCCCGCTACACCACAGTGTTCCCCCTGGCGAAGAAGTCTGAGGTGACTTCTACGCTGATCAGGTGGTTGCTTACCACTGAGGGCACTCGTGGTCGTCGTGTCAGCTGTCTTCACTCTGACCGTGGGGGTGAGTTTCGCTCCGGCATTCTCGCTGGATTCTGTCGCGAGCAGGGCATTCGTCAGTCCTGGACGCTTCCAGAGTCCCCACAGCAAAATGGGGTTGCTGAGCGCCACATAGGCTTGGTCATGGAGATCGCCCGCACCTCCTTGACTCACGCCCATGCCCCCCATTTTCTGTGGGCCCTACGCGGTTAGGTACGCCGCTCACCAGCTGAACCTCTGGCCACGCGTCTCTCGGCCAGAGGCTTCACCGACCAGTCTTTGGACCGGTGTTGCGTCGAGGTTTCGTGTCTGGGGTTGCTTGGCTCTTGTCCGCGACACTTCCGCGGACAAGCTCTCGCCTCGCGCCGTTCCCTGTGTCTTCCTTGGTTTCCCTGAGGACTCTTCTGACTTCACCTTTTACCACCCTCCCTCTCACCGGTTCTTTGACTCCCGTGACGTCCGTTTCGAGGAGTCCACCCCCTACTACGTCAGGTACCCCAATCGAGGTCTCCCGGTTCCTCCTCCCCCTCTCTTCCTGACTTCCGCTCCCCCTCCTGCTCCCCCGGTGCAGCCTCCCCCCCCTGGTCCCGCCCCGTCAGGTGTGTCCCAGGCTACCCCTCCCCCCTCGGTAGCCCCTCAGGTGCAGCCTCCTTCCCCGCAGTCCTCCTCGCAGCCCGCGGCAGTCCCTGCGGGAGCCGGTGCTCGTGGAGAGGGCCCTATAGGTGCTAGCTCTGGGGGTGCTAGAGTTGGAGCTGAGCCCGTGGTTGCAGGAGACTCTTGTCTTCCGGGAGCTGGTGTTGGTCTTGCTGACTTTGGGGGTGCTACGTCTGGGGGTGCGGGTGCACCCTCTTCGGGTCCTGGTGAGCCTGGTCGTGTTGCTGTTGGTAGTGCTGACTCTGGGGGTGGTGCGCCAGGTGCTTTGGAGGGCGGTCCCGGGGCTGCCGCAGCCCCCGACACTACTCCTCCCCCCCACCCCTACCCGGCCCGGCACCAGGCTCGTGTTCGCCGTGCCCGTGAGGAGCAGCTGGAGTTGGAGAGAGAGGAGAGGGAGTTGCAGTGGCTTGAGGAGCAGCAGCAGCAGTAGGAGCAGCTGCAGCAGCCGCAGCTGGAGCCGCCGCAGCAGCAGGAGGCGCACCCGCTGGAGCCGCTGCAGCAGCAGGAGGAGCAGCAGCCGCCGCAGCAGCAGCAGCAGCCGCCGCCTCCTCCTCCTGTCTTTGGTTTTCGGGCCCTCGGTCTCCCCTCTCGCTCTCCTTCCTCCTACCCCTCTCCTCCCGTCTCGGGTCCTCCGCTTCCTCCTCCTGACCCCTCCTCGGCAGTGTTCCCTCGTTCTCAGCCTCTGTTGTCCCCTCCTCCTTCTCAGTCTTGGGCCTCTCGTCGCTCCCCTCGTGCTCGTCCCTCGTCTCCTGTTCTCGTTACTGACCTTCGTACTGCCCTCTTTCGTTCTAGTCCGCCTCGTTCGTCTCCGTCTCTCCTTCCGTCTCCTCCTGAGTCGGCCTTCATTGCTTCTCTCTCTACTCGTTGTCAGAACATTA